TGAGCCTCGAGCTAAAAATACTTTAAAAAGATAGTGCCTCTAAATAAAGACCGTTTTAAAGTAGAAGCAATCTCTAAATAAAGACCATCTCTTAACAGTACTAAAATAAAGACCACCAGACTTTAATAAAGTGTTAGTTAAAAGGGATCACTTCTTAAATAAAGACCATTTCTACATGAAAGTACACCTAAGAAATTGAGACTGTCTCTAAGTCAAAGTTTCAAACCACTTCATAATATCACTTACATAATTATTTAAAACACACCTTTTATCTGCTAGAGACTGAAATTCAATGTTTGGAAAATAAACCACCTGAAATAAGGTCTACATCTTAAATAAACACCACCTTCTATTTTAAAAGAAACCATCGCATTAAACACAAACGAGAAAGGGTCAGCTGTGCACTCCATTAAACCTTTAGAAGGGCCGAATAAAATGCAACCTAGATGAATGTAAATCGTTTAGGTCTGTGCAGTTGTTGAAATTTAAAAAGAGGAAGCGTTACAACACAAAATTTCCATTACGTCCATACTAGTGGTACTCATTTTACACTGACAGGACAGGTGCACTTCAGTCAATGTCATGATGTGCCAGGAATTGTGACACCATATTATGTCTTATTTAATATATATTTGGACATTGTTGTTGGTAATGTTTTAATTATCATACTGCCTTGAACAAAGATCTTGTAACTCAAATTTTTTATGGTTAAATATCATAAATATGATGCTCAAATGAAGATTTATCAATATTATAAGTTCCAAAATACATTATTTTGTAAAGATATTACCGAATTTACATTTCATGCAAATAAAGGGAGGTAATTAGAAAAGTCAAAGCCAAATTTTTCAATAAAAAATGAATGCATAATTATATTGTAATGATTACATCCTTAATTACAGCATACAGGATCTTTAATGAATTATATCCCAAGAAAAGTGAAATGATATGTAAACTTTTGATAAGCAAATGACCAACAATAAAACATCAAAATTCAAACATAATGTAGTATATAGTACTAGACATTAAAGGCATCTGAGACCTGTTACCAAATCTAACCAAAATAAAACAGCACACGTTTGACCTCACTTTACTCTTATTATTAAATACATTATATATTTAATATGGTCTTTCACTTAAAGTTGGGCTTTATATTTAGATGGGTTGTATTTAAAGACCGGACATTTTGCCCAATTAATGCTTTAATTTCTATTTCTCTAAAGCTTTTTATTTATGGTGTACTTTTATAGTTTTGAAAAGTTATTCATGGGCCAATTACCTGAACCATCTTTTGCTTCTTTTTCTTGATTGCAATTAATACTGTTATAACGATCCAGTATTTTGTACAGAAGTAAAAATACTACTTTAATGTTTACATTTTGCTACTTTTATGACAAATTATTTCACATTTATCTAATGTTACTTTCTTCAGGTAACAAGCATCAAATAGCTTTACAACCATAATTTAAACATTATTAAATTTTTATGCCCTTTCTAAAGTAAACATTTATTCATTTCTGAGGCATAATGTGCCTTTAAGCATGGTTTATATTAAGAAAGCTTGCTATTTATGAAGTGGTGTTTATATAAGAGGTTATCTTTATTTAAAGGTGATTTATTCGACTGCTGATATGATTTTGAATAAGATGCATGATATATTCCTGAATGACACAATTTATTTTGCGATTCATTAATAAAAACACAAGTACATGAAGTACATAAAAACATTCACATACTTCCGCTTAAAACTTACACTACCAATTTTAAATTTCTGGCTTTGTCGCAAAACATTTTTATTTACATTTTCTTCAAATGGAAAGACAATGTTTTCTTATTTCCGTATGCAAATAATTGACTGTGCAACTGTCTGTAGCCTTACTGAGACTTAATATTCTGGAACCAGGCTAAAATTAAATCATGTGTAATTATACATTGTCTCCACCTTAAAAGTGGACAATTTAAAACGCCTGTTGCATTGCACTCTTATAAAACATCTGAATTTTTCAATATATATATTTGTTGGTTTTTAGAAAGTAGGAAACAAGTTTGTTTTAAATAAACTTATCTAATAATGTTTTGAAATTTTTCTTTTGAGATGATTTGGAAAGTGCTGTGCTGACATAGTTTTCAGGTTTCAAAAACTTAAATATTTATTATATCACACCACATCCTAGGTGAAATGTATCATGTTTTATCATGAAATAACATGAACTAACATATAATTAGGCTCACAGGTCATGGTTAGCCATGGTTGACCGTGTTATTTTAAATGGCCACAAACATGGTTTCTGACCATGGTGTGACCATGGTCATTAAGGTTACTGACCATGGTTATTATTAATAAGATCTTCCCGCTAAAGAAGACCACCTGTATTTTTGATTAAGGCCATGATGAAGACAATAAAGTTTTTTTAAACAAATTAAAGTTGGGTAATGCACTTAATTATCATAATGAAAATTAAATTGTATGCATGATAAAACACCAAATTCTAAACTTTCAGATTTTAAATGTTGAATATCAGCTTAACTATGTTGGTTGTACTGTTACTAAATTAGCAGCCAATGGTTCATCAGAACACAGTTTATATAATTCTTCAGATATGATAAAAGATTGAAGGTGCATGTTTTTATGTTACTTTTCAAACAGATCAAAGGATATCTAGATTAAGAAAGTGATGCTTTAGTCATAATTGAACGAGGAGAAGTGAGTTGTAACTGTCTAAAGTTACGCCCCTGTTTCCAATTTCAAAGTAGTCTCTGAGAGGGCTTGTTTAACTTACCTGTAGAAAATTTCATGATTCTCTAATTAGAGATATAAATGTGGTGCTTATAGTTCATCAAGTGGTGTCACATAAAAACAAACTTTCCTTTTTCTTTCTTGCCATGTTTTGAACTTCTGTGCCAGTCTCTAAACATATGTATTTTACTGACTTTGTTTTGCAGTTCAGCAGAGTTCTAGCCAGAAATTTTTGAAGGCAAGTTGCAAAAACAGTTACTAGGCAATTAATTAATGGCTTGGCTTTGATTATTGACAACTTAAAGAACATGTTAGTTAAGTATGAACTATAAAAGTACACCAATATAATAAAACAAAATAAAATTAAAAGCATTCCTGAGGCAAAATGGGCCTTTTCAATAACTTCATATCTTATGTGTAGGACACAGTCATCAAAATATCCAAGACCCATAACTCTTGGCTGACTTTTGACTAACCAGGTAACTATCTCCCTTTTTTATACAAAAATTCCTTTTTAAAGATTTGCATGCTGTATGAATATGTTTCATCAGCCACTAAAAATTAATATTGACTGACAAAGTCATAATATTATGCATATTCTTAAAATTATTTTGTTCAGCTGCAAAGTTTAAGCAATTTACGTAAGATGATACAGGTTTATTAGTGACTCATACTGACTGAATATAATAATTTTTTGTTTATTTGGTATATAATTTGGACAATTTACACCTGGACATGGGTAACAGGCCGGCAGGGTATCTTCATATATAATCAAATAAAAAATATAATTATGAACAAGTTATAAATATAATATATTATAACTGTTATGTATATTTGTATTAAATAAGTGTATTTTTATGACCTATTAAACCAGTATATGAAATTGGTTTCAGATGGATAGTTTTCTTTTATGTTCTTCCATTAACAGTAATGAAAAAAATAATCATAGTTTTTGATTACAGGCTATTTTGATGTTTTATCTTTTCTTATTAACCTATTTTCTGTGTTTGAAGATAAAGCAGAAATAAAGTGATAAAAAATGGTTCATTGATTAAGATTACAACTTTTGTTAAATTGTTTTAAGTTCCATTTGTACTTTACCAAGCTTTATGCATTGTAATGAGTTATGGACTAATACAGTGTGATATGTTCTGTCCTATAGAGAACACTGGTTTGATGATCCTGGCCTGAATCAAAATTTTTGCAAAGCAAAATATTAGGTAAAAATTAACTGATAAAACTGCCAATTTGGAATATCATATCAAATTGTCAAATTATTGCCATCATTTTGTTAAATAGTTATATTATACTTTAACTTTAGCAGCATGCCTCCAGTGACTTAGTAGTTAAGATCATTGTCTTCAAACCACTTGCCCATTGTAACCACTGCGGGTTCAAATCCTGACAATCTGGGACATTGGATTCTTTAATGTAAGGCAGCTATCCAGTTTGTACCTTACAGAACGTCCGTGGTTCTACTAAAGTGCCCCTTTGTGCCTGAAATAATGCATGGAAGGGCACCTGAGGTCTCATCATCCAAAGCTGGAAAGTTGCCATGTGACCTATACTGTGCTGGTGCGATGTAAAACCCAATTAAAAAAGAACGTCTATACTGGGGTCTAACTTAAATATTTTAAAGAGCAAATACATTCAAGACTACTGTGAATATACCTAGGTCAATTCCATGCGTGAGTGACATCCTTAAAGATTTCACAGTATCATTTACCATAAAGCAGCACGCCTCCAGATTCATGCTAATTTTCATGAAAATTTGAAAATGTATTTAACAGTATAATATAATGTGAAGTTACCAAAAGTATGCAATTAACACATTATCAATGACACTTAAAACCAATGCAAATTACCATAAAGAGGTAAAAATATGTAAAAATAGCCCTTAACTGCGTTTAAAGTAAAGCAGTAGAAATATAGTTATAAATACTGAAAAATCGGTCATTATCGCGTATAACATGTAAATTATTACTAGAATTTGGTTCTATATACTTTAACTATCTTAGTACATTTTTTTCAGGTTTGATTTTATCAAAATATTTTTGCTCATCTGGAGTTTTGCAGGTTTAATATAGCTCATTAGACTTGTATAAAATAGAAACAATACAATAACATCCAATGCATGTCACAGTAAGTCAAAATGTGATGGCATGTCTTATAGATTTTTTATAGTGCTAATATGATAACAAAACAAGAAACAAATAGTATAATGACCTTTGCAATTATACATCAATTTTTTCATCTTTTTCAGGGTACAGATACAAACTTTAATGTCTACCTCATTATCAACACTTTACCTGAGAAAGTAAATGGACAAACATATGGACATGGATCAGTTTCACGCCTTTAAAATCTCCGTTTCGATGTGGTAGTTCATTAAAATGTTTCGATTGGGTAAGTAGATGACAAAAGCTGATTGTTTAACATAGTGTTTTACTATTATAATAACTAAGGTATACACATAGAATGTATAGTGACGAGGAAAAAGTATTATTTATAAGTAGCTAAGGTATTTAAGCTCAATATTTGTAATACTAGGTCAAAACTATCGAATACAAGTTTGGATGTAAACAAAAAAATGGATTTTAATACTAAATGCAATTTTAGAGAAATGGACAGTGGTTTTAATTTTTAAGTGGACATTTTTGTGGACTGTTAGTTTATCGTTTTATCCTGAAAGTTCTCTGTTATAATGAAGGTATTGGAAACAGATAATGCAGTGTTTGTACATATTGATATAGAACAAATAGTACTGATAGCATCACAAATATAGAAAATGTGTTTGATAATTACTTTATATAACAACATAATTAGTCCAAACTGACACTAAAATCTAGGACAAAACAGTGACTCAAAAACTATTGTAGTACACTTAAACAAAACTGTTTTAACATTGAAAGTGAAAGCTTAAATGTTTATTTGACAAGAAAAGTTATTTTGAACAGAAGCTACTTTAACATTGGCAAGAAATTGGTTATCTTGAACAAAACATTGACTAGAAATGTAATCTTGGACAAAACTACTGAAACATTGACTAAGAAACATTATCTTGTACTATTAATACTGTAACATTGAAAAGAACAGTACAAAACAACTGTAACATTGTCAAGAAACAATTTCTTGTAAAAATCTTAAGTAAGATTGGCAAAAAATGTTTTCTTGAACAAAACTACTGTAATTTTGGGCAGAAAAGTTATCTTAGACAAAAATAACTGAAACAGTGACTAGAAATGTAATCTTGAACAAATCTATTGTAACATAATTAGTAGACTAAAAATACAATTTTGGACAATAGTACTGAAACATTGAGACTAGAAAAGTTTACTTGTACAAAACCACTGTAACTTTGACTAATGTAAATTGGACAAAACTGATGTAACATTGACCAGAAAAGTTATCTTGGACAGAAGCTACTGTTACATTGAATTAAAGAACAGTAATTTAAAATTGGACAAAACAACAAAGTCTCTTAATTAATGACAAGAAATTAAAAGTAATTTTGGACAAAACTACTGTAACATTTACTTTGAAGATATTACTCAGACAGAAGCAGATCTCAAACTATCATAGACTGTGAGTAACTGTTACTGTAAATTACGAATATTAACCTGAGTGTTTAACCAGTTTGTGACCTAATATTCAGCAAGAAAAGATCACAAAATAAAATACTAAATTTTAAATCAGTATCTTTTGTCACCTTATGACAATATTGATATCAGAATGGAGTGAGATTTAAAATACTGATCTCCTAGGGAAGACATGATTTATGTAACTTTCAATATTTATTGTGTAGCTGATAACAAGTCAAAATCTTAATTATTATCAGTGAAAAACATGCATCTCAAAATCTTTGAACAATTTAATAACACAACAAATGTTTTATAAGAGTTTAAGAAATATATATATATTCACATGCAGTAAACAATACATGTATTAACATTGGTTGAATGCTATGCAAAATATAAAATTCTTTAACTAACTAATATTCTATATATCTAATTGTTTCCCATTTATTACACAATATCCTGATCTATTTTTAAGCATATTTGACACATTTATGGTAATTTAAAGTACAACCTCTGCAAAACAACATCATTCAGGAGGTAAATAAGGTTGTTGCTAAGAGGTTATTGCTCCACAGAGGGTCTTTAACTGCAGGGCCTCTACACTGTAATTAAAATCATAATTTATCATAGATTTTTAAGTACAGTAGACTCGCTTGAATGATTTTAATTCTTATCTTAAGACAAATAGTTTACTAATATATCTAAAATACTTTTAAATTTTCATAAACTAAATATAATTATCTTAAATTAAGCATAGATCAGGAGGCATTCTAATTTTTCAAATATTATTTAATTAATTAGCGTTTTCACAATGCTAGGTAAACATTCTTTTTTTAATAAATTACGACTTGAAGGGTTGTGTCAGAAAGGAGTCAGGATATGCTGTAAAACATTTACCCTCTTATCTCATATCTTTTTTATGAGACTTAACTGATCCAGTTAAATCAAGGACATGTTAAGATATGGTTTAAAGATTATGTTAAACTTGTTTCATCTCTAATACTCAACTGTCATGGAATACTTGTGACCTTGAATAATAAACTTAATGATATGGGATATGGATTATGTAACTTTTTCATCTTAAAAACTAAGCTGTCACAGATACTTGTAAGTATTTATAATATGAAAATTTAAACAACCTTTTTATGGGATATTCCTTGTTGAACTGCTATGGATTACCCTAAATCTTTAATAAAACTTAAAGATATTGAAATTGGAGCAAATTTATTGTTAGTAATTAACATATCATTTCATGTTTTTCAATTTATGTGAATTGAGGTCATTAAACTTTTTATGGATAAGCTGCATCTTAGGGGATGTAAAATTGTAAACTAGACTTTAAAATAAGACTTTGTTTAAGCTTTAGATTTTAAAATTTGACAATCATTCAGTTAGCTATATTAAATAACAGAAAGTTTTTAAAAATAACTGGTTGATGATGCATGGTCACATTGTGAACTGTCTAGTGGCCTGTATTCAGGTAGCCAATGATGATCATCGGTTTACATAAACATCATATAACTCATAATTATCCTCCATTAACCATAGTATGTATTCAGTACATACTTATAATCTTCTGTTACCCACAGTATATACCATACAAGTAAAAAATTGCTGGGAAATGCAGCAATATGATTGTCACAGCGAAAAACAAAAAATCCCCCCCCCCCCATAAAAAAACAACAACAAAAAACAGTTAAATATTTTGATAAGGTATCTCCAAATAGCATTGTGTTGAATTGACATGTTAACTTGTTCAGAAGGTTTTTAAATATCATAATGTAACTTGTTACAAGAGCCATGTTTATGTAGTAGAGCAGAATAATTATCATTCTTGTGTACTGCATACCTCTTGAGTGAGATTTATCCACCTATGAAGGTTCATGTTGATATCTCAAAGGCTTTTGTAGTTATGCTCTGGACAAAATTAAGTATGAAAAATAACAAAGGGCAATAACTGAAAAATAATGCACGGTAGGTTAAATGTCTTGTGTGTTCCACTCCTCCTCAATGAGATCTATCCACCTATGAAGTTTCAAGTTGATACCTCTAACACCTTTTTGAGATAAGCTCCGGACATAAAGTATGAAAAATAACAAATGGCAATATATAACTAACAAAATATAAAGGGTATCATTCTTGCGCACAACATTCCTCCCCAATAAGATCTATCCACCTATGAAGTTTCATGTTGACATTTCAAAGACTTTTTCAGAGATATGCTCCACTCAGGTGAAAAATTTAGTATGGAAAATAACAAAGGGCAATAACTAAAAAATTATGAAGGGTAGAGTTATCACTCTTTTGCACTGCATACCTCCTGAGTAAGATCTATCCACCTATGAAGTTTCATGTTGATATCTCAAATGCTTGTGTAGTTATACCCTGGACAAAAATAAAGTATGAAAAATAATAAGTGCAATAACTGAAAAAACAATGCACGGTAGGTTATCATTCTAGTGTGCTGCACTGCTCCCCAATAAGATCTATCCACCTATGAAGTTTCAAGTTGTTACCTCTAACACTTTTTGAGATAAGCTCCGGACAAAAAGTTTGAAAAATAACAAATGGCAATAACTAAAACATTATATAATAAAGGATAGAGTTATCATTCTTGCGCACAACATTCCTCATCAAAAAAATCTATCCACCTATGAAGTTTCATTATGACATTTCAAAGACTTTTTCAGAGATATGCTCCACTCAGGTGAAAAATTTAGTATGAAAATTAACAAAGGGCAATAACTGAAAAATAATGCACGGTTAGTTATCATTCTAGTGTGCTGCAATTCTCATCAAAAAGAGCTATCCACCTATGAAGTTTCAAGTTGTTACCTCTAACACTTTTTTAGATATTCTCCGGACAAAAAGTATGAAAATAACAAATGACAATAACTCAAAAATTATAAAGGGTAGAGTTATCATTCTTTCGCACAACATTCATCCTCAAAAAGATCTATCTGCCTATGAAGATTACATTGACATCTCAAAGTTTGTTTTTTTAGTTAATTTACGATCCACTCAGGTGAAAAATTAAGTATGAAAAAAAACAAAGGGCAATAACTCAAAATTTAGGAATGGTAGAGTTATCACTCTTGTGCATTGCACACCTCCTGAGTGAGATCTATCCACCTATGAAGTTTCATGTTGATATCTCAAAGGCTTTTTGAGTTATGCTCTGGACAAAAATTGAGTTTGAAGAATAACAAAGGGCATTAATGAAAAAATAGGCATGGGTAGAGTTATCATTCTTGCACTTTTCCTAAATATGATTTATCCACCAATGAAGTTTCAAGTTGATACCTCCACCTATGAAGTTTCAAATTGATACTTTTTGAGATATGCTCCGGACAAAAATGTAGACAGACGGACAAAAAGACAGACGGACGGATGGAGACTAATTCTATATCCCCCACCGTCTTTTCGGCGGGGGTAATAAAACATTTTCTTGCTCATATCTAAAGGAAACTCAGAATTTTGCTCACAATAACGAGACATGAATTCTGAATGAAGTTTGATGTTGTGGTAAAAACTGATTTAAGTACCAAATTAAGTTATTTTACAACCTGGTATGGTGAATGTTTATTGTGAAACGCATATAGAAAAACCAAGTCTTATTTTAGAGAATTGCGCAAGAAAAATGAAATTATTAAAAAAAAGACAATTTAAATTCTTAATTGCAAATATAGAAACTTAGGAATGTAATGTTCAAAGACATTTTACACGTGAAAACATTCACTCCGAGAGTGACATAGATCCGACATGAGAACACATAAGTCCAAATATGTTGTCCCTTCGTGTTTTCGCATTTTGAGGCGAAGACGCGAA